TACCCAATAAACAATCTTGAGACATATATTAGACGTAGTGTTGGTATCAGTACATTAGTATTTTACAGAAGAATGCTGGCATGTACCCTTTATTTTTCTTTTTAAATGTATAAGTGAAAGTTATGACACTTCTTTGTCCATCAGTATCCCACTTAACTGGTGTTACTTAATAGTTAATTTCTAGTATGTTTCATAGGTTTGATGGTTGATAACTCTAAAGCCAACTTTTAAAATATAAATGAAAATCGGCAGTAGTAGACGGTGAAAGCAAAGTTAGCCCTAGACACATGACCAGTCTTAACCTGGTTTCACCAGTCTTTACCTGGTTTCACCAGTCTTAACCTGGTTTCACCAGTCTTTACCTGGTTTCACCAGTCTTTACCTGGTTTCACCAGACTTAACCTGGTTTCACCAGTCTTAACCTGGTTTCACCAGTCTTTACCTGGTTTCACCAGTCTTAACCTAGTTTCACCAGTCTTTACCTGGTTTCACCAGTCTTTACCTGGTTTCATCAAGCGACAGAGAAGTCGAAGAAAGACCACTGTCAAGTTCAGAGGTACAGAAAACCCAAACCCGGACATGTGCGAAACGTCGCGTGCGATATCAACTTTATCTTCATCACCTAGTACTTCTAGACCCTCATTTCAGACTTTATTCAACCTCGAAAATATTTTCTAGATTTCTCTAGAACACTTCATATCTTTTCCCTTTATTATCATTCTCCAAGATGTCACCCGAATTTCATAACTTTTTTTTTTTATCAATCTTCAGAATATTACTCAGGAGTAGTGATGTTATAATTAACATTGAGAATGTTATTCGAGTGTCATAACTAACTTTATTATCAACCTCCAGGATATTACTTAGGATTAGTGACGATACAATCAATCTTCAGAATATTATTATGGTTTCAATATCAATTTCCAGGATATTACTTAGGATTAATGACGTTATGACGAACCTTCAGGATGTTACTCTGATTTCATGACTTTATTATGAACCTCGAGGATATTACTCAAGAGTAATGACGTTACAATCAACCTTAAGGATTTTACTCTGATTTCATGACGTTATTATCAAACTTCATGATGTTACTCAGGTTGCATAATTTTGTTATCAATCTTCAGAATATTATTCAAGAGTAGTGACTTTATGATTAACCTTCAGGATGTTACTCTGGTTTCATGACTTTATTGTCAATATCCAGGAAATTCCTCATGATTGCTAACGTTAAGATCAACCTTTAAGATGTTACTCTGGTTTCATAACTTTATTGACAATGTCCAGGATATTAATGAGATTTATTAATATTATGTATATTCTTCAGGTATCATGTCTTTGTAATTGCTATATATATCTACATATACATTGATAGATAGATAGACAAACATCAGTATATTGAACGAGCTTCCTTCCCAAAATGTCTGTCATATGTTCTATTGTTTGTTGTTGTTTTTGAATTTATTCTCTAGAATTATTTTTAACATATTCTCAAATATTATTAAACAGATATTTATTGGTCCTTATATACATCGTGTTATCATTGTGCGCATTAGATTGTACGATAGTTTTCTTGTTATTTTGCATGTATGAATTCTCATGGATAATTGGACAACTAGATGAAACGTCACTGGAGAGTGGGCGGTTCCACTCCTGATGAACCTCTTTCGCCGATATTTATGTAGATTTTGCGACATCTTCCATACGGTATTAGTTATGAGCGCCAAATCAGTAATAACCAACAAATTTTGCCAAAGAATATGAAGAATTTGCATGAAAAACAACGAGAATGATATTTGTTTCTTAACCATCATTGAATTTATTCTAGTAAAATACTAGATGGGTTTGTTATGATAAATACATTTCATTTTTGTATAGCAGTTGACTGTTTAGACATAAAAAAGTTGCCTAAATGATGTCCAGTTTTTAGGTATAATTTGTTTATATTATGAGTCGTTTTTGTTTGTTTTAGCACAAAACTACAGAATGTGTTATTTGCGCTGTGCATACTTCGGAGATCAAACTAACAATTTTAGCGTCACAAGAAGCTATACCATCGGGGAACAGGTTACGAGTCAAAAGTTTATTAAACAGAATTCTCGTACAGTAGAACACATTTTTAGATTTTTAAGTGACTGTCTTTTTCTAATGGTTAAGAGCATCGCGTGTGAGGTCTGAGTGATACATCGACTTTGAATAAACAGATTCGAAAACGTGTTTTGATATTTAAATCCTGATATCTTGTTTTAAAATGGTTATTTTCCAACCTTTCCGTGTGATAAATTTATATATTTTAATTTTGTAATTCCTGGAAAACTTGTCTCTAACCTAGACACTTTAAAATGTGTTGTTGTTGTTTCCAAATTCACTGTCTTCTTTGCTGTTTCCTGTGAAAAACAAGAGACTTGGTACGTAGTTGTAACACATCCTGTTGATCAATTTTTAGAGGTACTAAATCAAACAACTAGTCAGTATCATTCATGCATGTCATACTTCTAGTTAATCAGAACCTGGTTGCCTTTTAACAATTCCTAAATTGTTTCTTGTTATGAATCACAGTTTAAACGCTAGCGCATAATTATATGTATATATATTCGGGATAAAAACAAAACAATACGCATTTGATGGTTAAGTCACTTACTAAAAAAAATGTTCGATTTCAACTTATTTTGTTTGTGTAAGCTTTAATTGGTTTTGCTATTATACAAATAGTCTTTATTTTGTTCTAGTTTGGTATTTTCTCACCCTAGTTAGTTGAGTTCAACATTTTTGTCTTAGCTAAAGTCTGATTAATGATATTGAAAATAGCCACCAGTTGTATGTAATATTAGTACAAGTTAATTGTTACAATCACGATTTTTTCTGAAAGTATTTGTGCATTCACATTAAACAACTCGTTAAATCTACATTTGCGTAATCTTTCATTGTTATATAAACAGTTAAAACTGGGTATCACTGCAGCTGATTAGAATTAATTAAAGACAGTGTCACGTAAATGGTTGGTACAAACCCCAGTTTTCAGTTGTGACATTGCAATGTAGTTCTTTTCGTATTTGTTATCACGGCCTCTTATAGTTTCAGCCTTCTGTTTCATATTTATCACCCTGCGATAGCTCTAACCTTCTAACCTCGTATATTTAATTGTTTCAGTCATTAATCTTATCATTCTTTTGTCAAAAGAGATGTAATCGTATAATCTATTTCACTCTCCCTGGGACGTACGTACACTACGTTTCAGCTAAAACCTATACCATTCTTGTTGTACGAGAGTTCGACTGTGGATCCAGGATAAGTATATATCATTCTAGTTGTACGAGAGTTCGACTGTGGATCCAGGATAAGTCTATATCATTCTAGTTGTACGAGAGTTCGACTGTGAATCCAGGATAAGTCTATA